GAAGAAAGTTTGTGTCCCTCTCTTCAGACACTAACTGCACATTGATACTGTTTCTTCCAACGGAAGATTTCATTAGTTTCATCTTTGGAATGAAATTCCAATTCAGGTCGAGGATATATTTACGTTTTGGACAAACTGGATAAACATCAACACACTTACAAGCGACTCGATCTGGTCTGAGACCACCTATGGGATCTTAAGCTACATATTTCTCCTGTGCTTATACTCAAAAATGTGACGTCAGTGAAATCGCGGCCCACGGACTCTCCTATGTCGAGCCATGGAAATGTAAACGCAAGGGAAGGAAACAAATGTGGACATGGACCGGTAATTAATTTATCCTTTAAAAATAATAGCAGTTAGGATACAAGATAGAGACTGATATGAAAGAAAGAAGATGTTAAAATTCTTTACACTGGAATAATGAAAGCAGTCACATCAAATAAACTTCAGTTAAATAAAACATCTAACAACATTTCGACACGGACCAGAGAAATCACACAAGAAAACTGAATCTGAATGTAATTATATTATTAACACATTTTATATTTATAAAACTAATATAGTACTAATCAGGCTTCAAAAAACAATACTGATTTAATACACTTAAAGATGTAAAGTTAATTGTGAACTATTAATGAAGACAACAGAAAAAATTAAAAATTTGAAACCAAATGCTGAACACATCTTGATACAATGAACAGAGGAGAATGATGTATGAATATTCCTGTTAATAATATATGTTACTAAAAAGAGTCTTAATCAAGGACATTATGTAGGTACAATGGTAAAAGACTGGCCCCTAAATATATCACACAGTAAAACGTTCAGGTTCTCTAACCAGGTAAATTCTTGAAGCAAAATATGTTATTTTAAACACAATAATTCCGTTTATGCAATAAACATTTTCATAGAAATGCAAAATAAAAGAATGTCTCTATAGACTCGCACTGTCTCGATGATTGGATGTTTTCTTGCACACATTTAAGCGAAAAGGTTATCCCTAATGTTATTCCATGCGATGATTGTTAGTTTTCCGCCACGAGTGAACATTCCCTTCCATATCTCACGATCATGCTTGTTCTGCAATGTGTGATTTGAGATGCATATTCAGAACGAGGCGGCGAGTGAACCTTTTCTTGCACAATTTACACGAGAAATGCCGTTCTCCACTGTGCACTCTCAGATGTTTCTTCAGGATATCTCTATTAGCGAATGTTTTCTTACACACTTCGCAAGAAAAGGGTCTTTCTCCACTGTGTATTCTGAGATGTATGTTTAGGTTATGGACCTGAGTAAACCGTTTCTTACACACATCGCACGAGAACGGTCGCTCTCCACTGTGTGCCCTGAGATGCCTGTTTAATGTTGAACTCTGTGCGAAAGTTTTCTTACACACTTTGCACGAAAAAGGCCGTTCTCCATTGTGCACCCTCAGATGACTCTTCAGGCTAGTGCTATGAGCGAATGTTTTCTCACACACTTCGCAAGAAAATGGTCTTTCTCCACTGTGTATTCTGAGATGGATATTTAGGTGATAAAGCTGAGTGAACCGCTTCTTACACACATCACACGAGAACGGTCGCTCTCCTCTGTGTGTCCTGAGATGCCTGTTTAGGTGAGAGCGCTGTGTGAAAGTTTTCTTGCACACTTCGCATGAAAATGATCGTTCTCCACTGTGAACACTGAAATGTGTTTTTAGGTAAGAGCGCTGGGCGAACGCTTTCTTACAAACTTTGCACGAAAAAGGGCGTTCTCCACTGTGAATTCTTAAATGTTTGTTTAGGTTAGAGCGATTTGCGAACATTTTCCTACACACTTTGCACGAAAAAGGCCGTTCTGCAGTGTGCACTCTGGTATGGGTGTAGAAAGTAGAGTGACTTTTTAACTTCTTCTTGCTATTTTCGCAAGATAAAGACTCACTGCGACCCCTTGATCCTTTTACTGCACTATGCTTAGGAGTTAACGATGTGACACACTTTTCACAACGAGACATTGTTTCTCTGTTACTTCCACTTGCATGTCCCAACAAATTATTCCCAGGAGACCATGAGTTCTTACATATCTTGAAAGAATAGAAGTTTCCTTCTCTTTTTAACATTTCTGCTCCCTGTTCACGACAAAGTTCCTTGGCATTAAAATCCTTATTTTCATGTGTTGCTTCAAAATTTGCTGCATTTAATTTAATACTCTGAAAAAAAGAACAGAAATGCTATAAGAACCCGCAGTGGAGTTGGGCTCGGAGACATTTTGCAGTAATACACACGACACCATTACAAATACTGTTACACAAGGAGAAACCAAAATGACATTGTGTTCCAGCTTGATCCCCAAATTTACTAATCCAAACGTAAATTTCTCTAAGCAAATTCTAGCATTCGTCTCCAGTTTCAGTGGAAATGTTGCGTGTGTCTTACTACATGCTACGCATTGGTTAACCGAATCAATAATAC